CAAATTTCTTTCCATTATGAGCAAAGCTCTTAACTAGGATACTAAAATCACTCAAATTAGCTTCCAAATTTTTTCCACTATCCATCTTAAAGCTAAACAGTTTCTCTAAGAAGTAGATTTTATTTGGCAATGTCTTAGTTAGAAACAAAGTATCTAGTATAGTCCACAAGTCCCTAGGGATGGTATGATCTTCAACTTGTCTTACTATATCATCAGATAGATGAATATAATAGAACTGTATGCTATTTCATTCATATCTAGAATTTTGTCAGACTTAGCTTTCAATGCATCAGAAAAAGTTGCAGGATTATCAAGGGTTTTGGCAACCCTTTGTTGGACCAATATAGCCCTCATTCTCTGCTTCCAAATCGAGTAATCTCCATTTCCATCAAATTGTGATAATTCGACCTTCGAACCCATCACACGTTCTGTAAAAGGGTGGTTATTACTTGTGAACATAAGTGATTTTCAATCTAAAGATCACTTAAGTTATAGAAAAAGTTTTGTAGAAAAATTTTCGTGCAAATTATGACAAGTAAGCTGAGCACATAATGAAAAACAATACAGATAAAAATATGCAGAGACTGAAGCAATAATAGACACTCAATCATTGAGATTTCACAATTGGTACCACACACTCAGATTACAGAAACTGAAGATAAACCTAACATGCTCATATTCCAGTCAACCAACTTATTCAGCATGCAAATCACAGTATATTAACATATTTTCAGATTAATATTAAGCATGCAAATCAAATTACTAACACGAGGTAATAGGAACAATTTCACCAAAAATACTGTGTATAACAGTATTTAAATTTCCCCTTTCGTTTAGGAGAATTGAATCCAATTCAGAATCGGATTCAAGAACACCCAAGCATCCAAGGACCTCAGTCCAAACTTGTTCTAGGGGACCACAGCCTAACAAGGCTCTAATACCAATTTGTTGGGATTGATTTCGCCCAATTGTCACACAAATAGTAAAAAATACGCTCAAGACACACACACGCTACTGAAATGTAAATAACACGAGAGATTGTTCACCCAGTTCGGTCAATCCTAATTCATGTAGCTCAAAGGTAAATCGAGTTCGTCACTATGCAAAAACCTTCAAGAGAGAATTATACAAGTTTGTACAACCAAGACTCGGCAAAAGACCACTTCTAAAAGATCATCGATCCACAAACAGATCTCCAAAATTAGTTTAATCTATACACAATCGGGAACTTCACAGCCTATCAACAAAGTGCAGATTTACCAATTATATTTGGTGAACAAATATAACCTAAAACACTGCACATAGCCACAACAAACCCTCAATAATCAAGACTCAGACCTGACTCTACAATATAAACCATCAAACTAATTACAGATCAAGAACTGAATGGAAACCCTCGAAGAAACCCTCACAGAGAGAACCAAAATAAAAACCATATGAAAGGCAATCTAAAAGTGACGGTACAGTAGCCATATGGGGTTTATATTCATTAAACCCCAGCCTTAGATCAAATCCAACGATCCAGGTAAGTCTCAACAAAAATAGATCCGGGTGAAGACAAATAGGCCTATAGAATCATGCTAAGTGGACGGACCAAGCAAAAAATGCTCTTTCACTTATGAAAACGGGTTTTAAGAACCACAACTCACATAAAGCATGATAGACGAGTTCATAAACTCCTTATTATTAAATGAAGCTTGAACTATTGTAATGATGGAAACCACAATATCTATTGTAACAATTGTGTAGTTGGGTCGTACTCATGGATCACATGAATAGACGTAAATTTTTCAACAAAAACAAATATAGCCCATGTTTGGTCCGAATTAAAATCTGATTTTAATCCAAATCAAAGACAAACAATCAATATTAATCACATCTTTTATGGGTCTCACAACTTTTCAACCATACATTTCAAAAACTTCTATCACAATCTACTAAAAATGTAATTTTCATCCCCACCAAACACCCACTTGATAAATTAATTTGCAATTTATCGAGAGGAAATATCTAAATGCAGCTCCTTTGCATGTTTAATAAATGGAATGTAATTCTCTTATTTGATAAGTGGAGATAAACTTATAATTAATTACAAAGAAATTCTAATGCAATTGCACCAAGATACATAAAATCAAAGAAAAAAAGGAACTACCTGCTTTTTTTTAATGACCCCCCAAAAAGTGAAAAATGTCATAAATACAGATAATAATAATAAAAACAGTATATATATATTATTTCATCCGCGAGACAGAGAAGCACTAGGATTGAACCTTAGGCATCCCAGTAATCCTTGTTTATATGGCAAGAAAGTCCTTTTTTTCATCTCTTCTGATGCAGCCCGGTTCATAGTGTAATGCAGTTCATGAGCCGAAACCGATGGCCCTGATCTTCTCCTACTCGACCCTGATCCAACACTGTCCGTGGATCTAAAGCTACAATTCTTGACCACGTGATCATGATCTTGATGACAATTTTTCTTCAACACTTCATATTTCTTTAACTCTGTTGCCCTACTTTCAGATGCACTTCTGAATAATAACAAGTCCTTTATTTTCCATTTTTTGTACCAAGATGAAGCTGAAGAAATGGATGAATTTGAAGAAGAAGAAGAAGATACTGCACAAGAATTCTTGGATGCTTCTTGAATTTGATTGTTATCAGGATCAAATAATAAGTCGGAAACTCTGAACGGAGACAAAGATTTTGTCCTTCGAGAGTTTTCTTGATTGTTTTCGTTCCGAGTTTGCTCGATAGCAGCTGCAAATGAATCAAATTCTTTCTTCCTGTCGTTATGGATTAAATCCTACGTCAGTTGAAGATAAAAATAATATATATATTCAAAATATAAGGATTTGGGCGGCTATCCTTAAAAATGAAAATTCGAGGCTCAATGAAATATTATAGTCCAAAAAAGCACAAACGAGCATTTTAACTAGCCTAAACATCAAACATGTTGTTGGATTTAGATATTGGTGTTCTCGAGCCAACTAACATTGATTAAAGATAAAAAAAAAAAAATTGGTCGTCAACTCCTCTTTACGAGGACATTAAATTTTTAAGATGGAACTTCAAGAATTAGTACCTGTGACGTGGGGAGAATAATTTCTTGGGTGATCTAGGGGATTTGGGAGAATCAGCAAGCTTGTTTTTGTATTGTAAGCGTGGAGGGGGCTTTAGGGGTTTGATTTTCCCTCCATCAAACAGTTCATCAGCAGATAATGAACTTTTCTCCAATTGACCACGAAAATCAAAAGCAAAATCTGCATCATCATCGTTGGTAGTATCACCATCACCACCAGTTGCGGCTGCGCCGTAGTTGTTGATGTCTCTGTAGAGGGCGGAGACACGGGATGGGCTGGTGGGGGCACTGTAATATAAGGTGCCAAATCGTTGTGGGCTGGAAGGGGCAGTTATGTACGGTGAAGTGCTTGCACTGTCAAAGTTGAACTCCACATGCGCTGATGGTGTCATCACCTCCATTGGTGTGTGTCTGTGAGAAAGAGAGAGAGAGAGAGAGAAGACAGAGAAAACCCGCAAATGGCAGAACTGTAATGAAAGATGCTACATATGCACACACAGAGCGGGGGATTAGGTGATTGACTATAGCATAGCCGCCTTTTACATACGGCTTGATTATTTTGTAATGGACTGTCGTGTTCCATTTGTATATCGCGTAAGTCCATCTCTATTAGAAATGATCAAATTTTCATCTGCTGACATATAAAAAAATATGTTAAAGATGAATAAATAAACCTTTTCTTCGTGCCTAATTGTCCTAACTAATCGTATTGGTATGTATTACTCTAGGATCGAGATGTTCACAAAGTTCATTGAACTACATGAGGAAATGATTTTTTCCTTTCAAATAATTTTTTTAATATTGACTTTGCATATTATCCAAATAGGATACAAAATTAACAATTAATTGGAGATCATATCCAAAGTTTCATAAGAAAGGAAAAAAACTAGTTCGGTTTGAATAATGGTTTAGGAAGAAGACAACAATCTACCCCCCTAGATTTGACCTAAATTTTGTGCAAAGCGATACTACTTAAATTAATTTTTGAGGGTTTTGCTAAACGCGCATTTCATCACCTAGTTTTTCTGCTAACTTCTGCTTCAAACTCTTGTCGGAACATAAAAGTTTGTTTCTATGATCTTGCAATATTTTTGTGTTGCTTTATAGGAACGAACAATTCTTGGAGTCAATTGTCATAAATCAAGTTCAGTTAGTACTTAATAGAGACTTGATCAATTAGTGTTTATAAGTGATACCGTGCACGCGCACCACAAAATCCGTTCACTTGTATATAGATGTCAATCATGCTAGAGTGTTAAGTTTTTATCAACATAAATTAGATGGTTATAAGCCAACTATAAAGTTATTGAGAGTAACGACCTTTGGACTATTGCATTTGTATCATTTCCTCTCATTCAATTTTGATGTAGAGGAAGCTGTTGGATATTAACTTAAGCATGCACAATGAAATTAAACAATGTCAATAGCCAAAATCAATGCTAATCCACACGGCAAGAATGAACTTGGAACTCCACCACCATGCACAGGGACGACATGATTTTAGGAAAACGAAGTTCACAGTTTTTGCCTCTTTCTTGTGCTAGCAAGTAATCAAGACAAAATTGTTAAAACCCTAAACCTAGGCTATGTATTTTTATAGATTTTTCCTAAATCCTAATTCCATTAAGATTATTAAAGGCCTAACCTAATTGGGTTCAAGAATAATTAATCCAATTAATTAAACTTAGCTTAATACATAAAAAATAAAAACCAAGAGTAATTATATTAAGTCCACTCGACAATTGGACATAAGACATAATACTTACAATCTTCCACTTGGACCAGGTCTAATTTAAAATTCACAATTCTCTCCCTTTTTTTTTTTCTTTTTTTTTTTTGTGGCCCATCAAGTTTCCACTCATGATGGCTAACCTTGTGATATTAGTATCCTCGTTAACTCGCCTAGATTATAAATTAATTCACCTCACCATCCAAAATTGATATCTAACAAAGTATCAAGGCAATCCAAATGACAAAAAAATTATCATGAGTTTTGACATAACCGTGTTGATAGATTACCATAAAAATATAATCATTTCATCATGTACGACTCAATTGATTACAAGATATGAATATACTTTAGTTTCGATGTAACCAGATAAACGAATCATACTATTCATTAGCACCAATATGTCAATATGAGCTGCAGTTGAAGCCCCTCTCAATTTATTACTCCACCCCAGATGAAGAATTCACTTATCCACGTTGGTTAGATAAAATGCAGGTCATAAGCTTTTCTTATCAAAGAGTGATGAATCCTACATTGATCATTAATCAATCTTTACATGATTCTCGATATACTCGTACAACGTCATTATTAGAATTTAGGTGTAACTCGAATTCTTCGTTAAATAAATTGAGAGTTCTAATTAAAGTACACATAGAATCATATTTGGAATGCTATTGTTGAATCTTATTTAAATTTATTTGGCGAATTATAATTGAAATTCTACTTGGAAGCATATTGGGAGTAGGAATTTATGTTGGAGTTGAAGAAGACATTGGGATGAAAATAATCAAGATTTTTAGAGTAAAGAACCTGAAAGTGAGCGTCGCGGCGCCACAACAATTTTGGCCAAGGGCACTGCGGCTCCACCCCGTCTGTTTAGCCTCTTGCACATTTTTTCTCTTCTACTCCGTTTTTCACATTCTACTACAACTCTACTATAAAGGTTTAGACGTCTTCTATTTGTTTCCTATATATAGCTGTCTCTTCATTATGATTTAAAAAAAGTTAGACAAATTGTAAACACATAATCTTTGTATTCTTTTTTCATATTATAATAAAATCTGCATTCTCTGCAAATTATTCTGTTCTTGTGTTTTGTGATTATTTACTTCATAATTGCATATAATCTTGTATCGTCTTCAACAAATTGATATAAAGCATTCCAATTTTCATGACAATTTGTATAAGAGCTTTTGGTGTTGAAATTCTTGGGAAGATTGAGGTTTTCGTGATGGCAACAATTAAGTATGATATTTTGTTATTAGATTATAATATAAGATTCTATACGTGGCAGGTAAAGATGTGAGGGAGTAAGCAGTACTCGCTTACATGAATTTAGATTATGCATTGTTGGGATTTGATAAGATGCCAACAACTTGGACTATAAAGGAGAAACAACGGAGGGATCGAAAGGTCATATCTCAAATACATCTTCATCTTTCAAATAATATTCTTCAAGACGTTTTAAATAAGAAGTCAGCCACTGCTTTATTGTTAAAATTGAAACAATTTTGCATAACGAAGAGTCTTACTAGAAAATTGCATATAAAACGTTTATATTCTCATCGTATGATAGAATGTGCATCTTTTGAGGATCACCTAGCTATTTTAAAGAAATTGTCACTGATTGGAGACCTTGAAAGTCAAATCTGATGAAGAATACTTGGGATTGATTTTGTTGTGTTCATTGCCCGCCTCGTACATGTATTTTAGAGACACGATTCTATATAGTCGTGATATTTTCACCATTGAAAAAGTCTACGATGCTCTATATTCAAAAAATAAGATGAAGCATCTTGTAACATTTGGGGATCATGGAGATGGTATTATTGTTCATTGTGGTCGTTTAAGGGGCAAGTCAAAATCTAACTTCAAATTTTGTAATCAATGCAAGAAAAATGGGCATAAACTATTGTTTTAAGTTGCAGAATAAATCAAAGTCAACTGCAAATCAACAATAAGAAATTTCAGGAAAAGCAAGTATTGCAGAAAATTCTAACAGTGATGGAGATCTTCTACTTATGTCTGACTACAACTCCAAAACTGATGAGACCTGGATTGAAGATACAGCTTGCACTTTTCATATGTCACCCAATTGGGAATTATTTTCAATATATAAAGAAGTTTTGAAAGGTGTTGTGATGACAGGTAACAACACACCTTGTCGGACAGCTGGCATTGATCGGATTAGAATAAAGATTTTTGATGGGAATGTCAAAACACTTGATGTAGTGAGACAAGTTCTAGATCTAAAAAAAAAAATCTTATCTCCTTAAATACTCTTGATTCAAAATGGTACATGTATTGAAGATGGAGTTTTGAACGTTATCAAAGGAGCTCGTGTTGTGCTGAAGGAACATAGAAAATCCCATTTATATATTTTATACAGTGATACAAAATATTTGAGTAATCAGCATATTTCAAGAACTCGAATGAATTTAGAGTTGGTTTCTACACCATTGGAATCTAATTTGGGGTCTTCTTTTAAAAATACATCTCAACTGAATTTTGAAGATATGAGTAAATTCGTCTTGCCACCATTATCGACGATATCATAGTATTCAATTACTAAAAATAGATCCATTTTTTAACATAAGATTCTACTTAGATACTATTCTACTAATTTTTTTAATGGTTTGAATGCAGTTAAAGGTGTTGATTCTACCCAAGATCCATATTTTAATACATTTAAATTCAATTGTAATTATGTTACAGGACTTGTTTCAGCCTTATTTGGTGGTCATTAGATTGCTTTTGCCCTTAGTTGGGGTAGCAAGGGTGGAGAATATTTTCAATTGGAATTGTTGATGGAAAAGTCTGTTTGTATTCTTCATTAAAGAAATCCAAGTTTATTCTGTGTAGTAGAATTTGTCTTCAGGTGGAGAATTTTTGAAGTATTGTTCATTGTAGTGAAATTCGAGTTAAGGTGAAGATTATTAAAGTGCACGTTAAGAAAAATCATATTTGTTGAAAATAATTGAGAATTTGTCTTCATGTGGAGAATTTTTGAAGTTTTGTTCATTGTAATGGAATTCGAGTTAATGTGGAGATTATTAAAGTGCGCATTAATAAGAACCATATTTGTTAAAAATAATTGACTCAAATTCTTTGTTGAAAATAATTGAGAGTTCTAATTAAAGTGCACATTAAGAAGAATTCTATTTGGAATGCTATTGTTGAAACCAATTTAAGTATACTTAGCAATTTTTAGTTGAGATTTTATTTGTCCAATTGAGATTTGTTCATTGTAATGGAATTCGAGTTAATGTGGAGATTATTAAAGTGCGCATTAATAAGAACCATATTTGTTAAAAATAATTGACTCAAATTCTTTGTTGAAAATAATTGAGAGTTCTAATTAAAGTGCACATTAAGAAGAATCATATTTGGAATGTTATTGTTGAACCTTATTCAAATTTACTCGACGAATTCTAATTGAAATTCTACATGGAGGTCCATTGGAAGTAAGAATTTGTGTTGAACTTGAAGAAAATCAGGATTTTCGGAGTAAAAGACACGAAAGTGGGTGCCGCGTCGTCACGACAATTTTAGCCCAGCGCTGCGGCGCCACTGTCTGTTCACCTCTTGAGTGATTTTCTCTTCTACTCCGTTTTTAACATTCTACTTCAACTACAATTCTATTATAAGGGTTTAGGCATCCCCTGTGTGTTG